TAGAATATGTAAATAATGTAATATAAATATTGTTTATAAATTCTTTTATATTTACTTTATTATTTTATTTAAATTACTACGTTAAAAGCCGACAGATTTGACTGGCAATATAAATAATGTTGTTCATTGTTTATATCGTTTATAATATCGTCAGTTTTTATATGCATTTAATATTTTTTAAAATAGTTTAAAAGCTGTCAAAATAAAATGGTGAATTGAGTTTAAATTAACCAGAAATATAAACGTAATCTTTGGGATTCATCTTGTAAGGATGTTTCAAGAACCCGGCAGTTGGAGATGGAAAACTGTGGTAATGTTTTAAAAATATCAGAAAGGGAAATTAATTAATGCACAAGATTTTGCTTCATAGTTAAATATAAGCATATAAAAGCAATGTTTATAAATAATACACTATTATTTATTATAATACAATTATTTTTATTTGTTTATATTTAACTAATGTAAAGTGCTCATCATTAGTTAAAATAAATTAATTTATGCACACACTTTGATATTTATTATGCTTTTACATTACTATACTTTATAAATTACATATTTATTATATTTGTTATGTTTTAAATAGTAAATAAAAAATATAATAAATTTTTGAGTTTAATAGTGTGTGCATAATTTCTTTTATTTTAACTTTATAAGTTTATTTAAATTACTGCATTATAAGTAGGTAAGTTTGACTTACAATATAAATAAGGTTGTACATCATGCAGGCAGCTCAGACAAAGAAGTAAGTTTTTACTTAAAGTTACAATTTATGAGTTATACTATATTTGTTGCTGTCTTGTTCTATATAAATGTTAGACAAAGAAGTAAGTTTTTACTTGAAAATACAATTTATAAGTTATACAATAGTTGTTGCTGCCTTGTTCTATATAAATGTTAGACAAAGAAGTAAGTTTTTACTTAAAATTACAATTAATAAGTTATACTATATTTGTTGCTGTCTTGTTTTATATAAATGTTAGACAAAGAAGTAAGTTTTTACTTGAAATTACAATTTATAAGTTATACTATACTTGTTGCTGCCTTGTTCTATATAAATGTTAGACAAAGAAGTAAGTTTTTACTTAAAATTACAATTAATAAGTTATACTATATTTGTTGCTGCCTTGTTCTATATAAATGTTACTAACATGCAGCTAAAATTTATATATGTGTATAAATCTCTTCATTATAACCTTATCATTTCATTTAAAATGCTACATTATTAGCAGGCAGGTTTGACTGGCAATATAAATTTTTTAATTTATTAATTTAGCCGTTCATTAACAAGTCCTGTGCTTTATAATATATATAAAGATGGTAAGCACGTGAAGAAAACAGGTTTGTAAATGATTTTGTACATCATGCAGATAGCTCAGAAGAAGAAGTAAGTTTTTTTTTTAGTTACAAAAATAAACAAGTAATATAATATTTGTTGCTGCCTTGTTCTATATAAATGTTTCTAACATGCAGGTAACATTTGTATATGTATTAGTTTGAACAAATCATTTTAATTAAGTTACATTATAGGCAGGAATGTTTGACTGAAAATATAAACGATGTTTTACATAATGCAGATAGCTTAGGCGAAAAAGAGGTTATAATCTAATAATTGTTGTTTATAATGATATATTCATTGCTACTTTTTTCTATATAAATGTTACCTAACATTTGGCAACATTTATAGTTGTGTATAATGCCAAATTATAAAGTAAGTTATAATAGATAATAATTATAAGTAAAATTAATTAGTAACCCAGTAAGCACAAGACGCATTTTAGACACTTATAGACGTCTAAAACTAGTCTAGGTAAAAACGCACTTTTATAGACGTTTTGAAGATATCTTTTAGACGTCTTTTATGAATGCGTTTTTAAAATGACGTTTAAAAGGCGTCTTTTTAAAAGATAAAAAGACGTCTAGAAGACGTCAATTTTTAAGACATCTTCTAGACGTCTTTTATAAAGGCGTTTTTAAAATGACGTTTGAAAGGCGTTTATTTAAGCGTTAAAAAAACGTCTAGAAGATATCTTTTTTTAAGACATCTTCTAGACGTCTTTTATAAATGCGATTTTAAAATGACGTTTAAAATGCGTCTTTTTAAAGTTTAAAAAGACGTTTAGACGTTTTTAGTTTTTATACACCCACAAGCCATATAATAATTCAAGTATGCGGTCAAAAATTAGCTAGCAAAACGTATGTCAAATTTTATTATAACTAAAGGTAAGTTATAAATGTTTTAAATACCTGTGTTGATATATATTTGTAATTGTTATATATTATTTTCATCCTTGATGCATCAACCGTTTGTGGTGATTACAGCAATATTATTTTGATTGCTGGTTCTTATGTATATTTTGTATATACGAAATTATAACAATATATGATTTTATAAATACAATGAATATATACCACATACTACGCGAAAATGTTACGTCATGTACTTAAATTTATCTTAAAAAAAACGTCTAAAATACGTCTAAAACGCGTTTTTATAAAGACGTCTTCATTTAGACGCCTTTTAGCCTTATGATCTAGACGTCTACAAGTGCGCCTTTTAGACCTCCTTAAAGACATCTTAAAAACGTCTTTTAAACGTCTTTGTGCTTACTGGGAAATAAAGAAAACTAGTTAAAATGTATATATTAGTTGTATGATGTATTGTCTAGATTGGTGAAATGGAGAATGAGACTAACTAAAAATAATGAATATCAAAATGTGAATGGTACTTTGTTTGACATCTTCCTGTTTCTACAGATACAGTGCAGTCGCACTAATAAATGGGCTTGATGTTTTCTTGATTTGAAAATGTTGTATTGATGGTTTTTTTTAACTTGTTAAAACTTTAAGTTATTATCAAATTTATATATACTATTTTTATCAAATAGTTAATATAAATGTAAGTTGTTTTATTTTCTGTAAAAATTGTTTTCTTGATATATCTCAATTGTTTATCACTATGTATATCACTTATAGTATTATATTACTTGTAATTTTTTGTTTTATTTATTTTCAGTGTGTTATACATATGCATGCATTAAATAATCCGGAGAAGTCAAGTTTTGATGTTTCAGGTGCATTATAGCTATTATTTTTCAAAGATTTGTAGGATTTAACAAGATTTAAATTTTATTTTGTTTATTGATTTTATTCGGAGAAAGCGATCCCATAGATTAAGAGAACTCAATAATATTAGTGTGATAAAATTTTCTTTTATGATTTAATATGACAATTCAATTAACATTAGATCAAAAAAACTTGAAAACAAATCATGCTTTTTTACCATGAAAAATCCATGACTTTGCCTTGAAATGGTGTTTCTAATACCTATGAAAATTCCATGGTTTTTTTCATGGATGGAAAATCATTGAATATCCATGATATTTGGAACACTTTTCCATAAAAAACTCATGGATTTTTCATGGAAAACTCACGGGTTTCCCATGAAAACTCATAATTTTTTGTTGAAAACTTATGGGTTTCCCAAAGGAAACTCATGGATTTCCCATGAAAAACTCATGGGTTTTAATTGAAAACTCATAGGTTTCTCATAGAAAACTAATGGATTTCCCATGGAAAACTCATGGATTTCCCATGGAAAACTCAAGGATTTTCCATGGAAAACTCATGGGTTTTTATTAAAAACTCATGGGTTTCCAATTAAAACGTGTTCCAAATAACCATGGTTTTTCCATGGTTTTTTTTCATGGGTTTTTTCATGGAAATTTTCCGTAAGGGGAGATGGGGTTTGAACCACGGATTCTTTGTTTCTGAGGCAAGTGCCCGACCACTGCGCCACGGCTGCTCTCCGCAAATGCTTCTGGAGAAAAAAAAAACCTTTATTTTGAATGTATATAATAGCCTGATGTTTTAGAGATGTTAAAGTTTACGAAACTTTGGGTAAAAAAAGGTTCGTGAAACTTTGGATTAAATCATTCCAATAAATATGAGTGTTGAGGTAGCTCTAGCATTAAAAACGAACACTGATCAAAGCGAAAAAAATATCAAATAATCAGCAACTCAGCCCTTGCACACAATATACACCCCAGTGGGTACAAGAGCGCTCTGCGATCGCTTTTTTAATGGTCCCATAAAAAGGTTTTTAAATGGTTTCTTAAAAGTCCATATAAAACGGTGAGCAGACTTTTTTTGAAAATCGTTTTGTGAACGTTTTTCAAGGATCTTACTAAAACGTATTTTGTTGGTTTTTTGAACGTCCATTTGAAGCGGTGAACTGACGTTATTCTGAAAACGTTATTTATTGGTTTTTATTAAATCTTAATGGAATGTTTTATCGTTTTTAACATTTTCCTAAAAACCTTTTTTTTTTTAAGTATAATTTACTTAAGTAAATAACTTATGTTATACAGTAAAAAAACCTTTTCACAAATGAAAACTTAGGTCTGATAGCATAGATCTGGATAAATAACTAAAAGTTTAAACACTGTGAAGCAGTGGTAGCGCACTTGCTTTAGAAATAAAAGATCCGTTGTTTAAACCCCGCCACTGGGCGGGGGTTAAACAACGGATTCTTTTATGTAGCACTTGATTTATCTAAAGCATATATGTATATATATATATATATATATATATATATATATATATATATATATATATATATATATATATATTTGTATATATATGTTCTCGTAAATGAATAGCATTAACGGTTCTCTAATTTGAACGCTATCGTTGACTGAGGTTTGTTTAAAACAAACCCTTGCATAAAACTTTCTGTCAACACATTTTAATTGGTTTTACTTACCTTATTAAAACTGAAAACAGTATACAGTTAAAAACAAAACGGAAACGATTTTAGTCTCCGTGGCGTTTTTTGTTATATCAAAGCGTAATAGGCATTTTTAAAGTTTTAAAAATGTTAAAATTTTCAAATTTGTCATTTAATCTCCTTTACAACCAAAAAAGTATAGATATATTAAAAAGTTATTAAAAATTAAGTAGTCAAGACCAAACAATAAAAAATGAATGTTAATTACACTTACCTTGATTTTTTATTCCTAAATGCTCCATAACTGATAATTCCAAATGTTTAAATTTATTTGGTGCAATCTCATTTTGAAATTCATACAGTCCATTAAGCCCATTTACAAGAATTGCGTTCAATAAGATATCATTATCATCAATATAATTCGTTTCTTTAATAATCGATTTTAAAGAATTGCTTAAACTTAATTCATCATCAACCGGACCTAATGAAAAAAAAAAATCAATACCCTTAAATAAAAGGTTTAAATCAAAAATTTTATTTTTTACTTTTGTCAGGATAAAAGTAAATAAGATTTTACTTAATTATATAGGTACTATAATGACAGCCCATCTTATAAAACGCGTTAAAGTAATAAGATGGTTTTCATTTTTTTAAAAGGCAACGGGATGGTTAGTATGGATCCTGATACTACCGACCTAGCTGAACCAAGAATGTCACCTAGATAAGATAATAGCGTACATATAAAAGTACCTTATGATGCAAACTTTGATTCTTTTAATTTAATTTTATGTTTATAAAGGCCTTGATGAACAGTTTAGACAGCTTGTTCATTTTAGGGCCCCTACATGGTCCTTTGCGGCTAATGAAAACGATGTAAATTTTGGATGTTACGCTTGCAGCAGTTATCATTAAAAAAACACCTTTTGATATTATTCCAGCTGATGTTTAAACCTAAAGCCAGCTTTTGTAACTATATTGTAACGTTTGAATGGTTTAACTATGTAAAAAATGTTGGGAACCGAGTTTGTATCAGCAAGTTGCTTAAGTACATTCATTTATGCAACTTGCTGATAACAAAAAATTTCTTTATGTAAGTTTACATTAAGAAATTATTTGTTAGTTTAAAAATGGTATAATTTGATTACGTAACTTAGACATTAAAAACTTTTATTTATTCTAGAAGTCATATCTTTGCCAAAGAAAACAAGGTCTTATTTGTGAAATTTTGATTACTAGTTTTTATTTTATACCATTTTAATTGATCATGATTCAAGTTTGTTTATTTACGCGTAGTCATATAGACGTATTTTATTGAGTACATTAGTTTACTCTACGGTTTACGTTATTATAGAGAACTACTTATTTGGGTACAATCATATATTATAAAATAAGAAGAGGAGGTGATACAGAATATAAATAAGAAGTAATATCAACTAACTAAGAGCACGGCGAAACATGAAATGCACAGTGGGAACTAGTTTAAACCAATAATTTATTCGCGTGAAGCTGAATAGGCTTCAACAATCCAGCCACCATTGACAAGCAAATTTTTCTCATTTAAGAAGGTGACAGTTACTACATTTTCTTTGTCAGAATATTTAGTAGGATAGAGTTAATGATGGGTCGATTAACTAAGCACGATTTACCGCTTTCTTGTATGCAACAAACATTAGCAATGCGAACAACTCCTTTGTTAGAATAAATCAATTCTTCAACACGTGCTTACTTCCATAATTGTCTTTACAACTTTTTTAAACATCTTTTTGTCATTCGTACTAGTCGCTCAAATAACCCTCCCCACCAAGGGGCCGATAGCGCATTAAATTTCCATTTAATAGAATGGTCTGCAGCAAATAATTGAGTTTCAAAAGAAACGAATTGAGAACAATTGTCAGAATAAATAATTTCTGGAACACCCCGCCTTTCAATAAATCGAAGAATACCCATATTGCACGATCTAGATGAACAGTCGGCTACTCAATCTAATAAAATTGAACGATTACTGCAACACATAAACAAAAAAATCCATGCTTTATTCGATGTACTATCATCATAAACATCTTTGATATACAGATGACCAGCATAATCCATAACAATACACTTGAAAGCAAAATTAGAGTTTAAAAAAATTTCTGGTTAAGGAGGAGCAGGTGGATAAAAATAAGTTTTACCCTCTATACGTCGACTAGTTGTACATTTTTGTATCACCCTCTTTGCTAATAGTCTACAACACGGTATCCAACACGGGGATTTTAAAGCATTAATTGTTTCTTTTAAACCATTGTGCTTGACAAGCTTATGAAAATGTAAAACTTAAAATTTATCAAAATAACACTTATTAAATATAAATATAGTAAATTTAGTGTCGTATTCTAAATCATCATATTTAGTTCTGCCACGACATCGAAATATTCCGTTGTCAACGAATTAACGTAGATCTTTACGTAATTTTTTAAAACTTTTTTCATTGATTAGATTTATTTGTGTCAATTTAATCCACTATCGCTTCGAATTATTCATTTCTTTAGCTGCTATTGGGTCTATCTTAAAAGTGTTCTTCTTTTTATTTTTTGCATTATTCAATAAATAGAAAAATCCACGACTTTACTTGAAGAAAGAACCTAAAATCACTAAATTTATCAATATTATTAAAGTCAAGATAAACCTTAAACTTAACATGTGCCATATTACATAAAACTGCAATGGTTTCTTTCGAATGATTACCATGTTTATAATATGGCCATTTAATATAATTATTGTTTAAAAAATTGGGTCCAGAAAACCAAAGTACATTATTATTTAATTTTTTAAGTGATGATCCTCGAGATATTATATCGGCAGGATTTTTTTATGATTTAAAATAGTTCTAATTACAAATTAAAGACTATTCACTTATTTTAGTTAATCGGTTTTGTACTAACTGTTCTTAGGTATTATTAGTATTGAAAATCCAATTTTAGCAAATTGTTAAACCAGTCCAATATACTATATTTAAAATGTCATAAATGGATACCAATTGATCGTAAATATATGCTAATAATTTTGTTAATAGTAAAGCTGTAGAAAGTTCAAATCTAGGGATTGTGTTCGTGCCTAATGGGCAACATTAGACTTCGAAGCTAATAATAAGGCACAACTAAAATTAGCATTAAAAAATCTATCACAAACACAACACCCAAATAAATTTACATTTACACGAGCAAAACCATGTAACTCGAATTTTATGCCCCTCATAGTACCCAACCCATGGCTCATATACCATCGTGGTACTGCTATTTTGAAAACAGATTTGAAATCACTTAAAATAAGGTTCCAAGCAGACAATAAATCACTAAACAATTTTTCATTCCAATCTAATTTAGCATGTCAATTTTTTTGAAATTAAATTTTGCACGTTACAACTAATAGATTTTTAAGACCTATTGGATCATATATACTAGCAATGAAAGTAATCACTTCTTTCCTTGTTGGAATTATTGAGGCTTTATTTAACAAATCCTCAAATAAAGAAATTATTTAATACTCGTTCTTATTTGACTTAAGACCTAAAACTTTTGTATATAGTTTCCTTTCAGCATTGTCACCATTATTCTGCTTTTCAAATACTTAAGAGTTAGACCCAAATTTCAAGTAAAACCTCTTATTCTATGGTATCACAGCTAGAATTCGAATTGTATATATGCAAGGATTGTCAAAACTTTGAGAAAAAATAACTACCAGAGAGACAATACCTTTCTGCATGATAGATTAATCATAAATGTTAATATGTATTAACATTTCCACCTAATATATAGCCAACTGATTACTGCAAAGCAACAGGACCTGAATTGGCACATTCAAAATTTTTGTAAAAAGTTTGCCATTCTTTCGGATTCCCATTAAAGGTACTTAACTTTAAAGGTGGAAGTTTAATATTATTACTTGAAAAAGTTTTTACATTGCTAAATTGTGTCTCATTGTTACACTTATAAATATTATTATTAAATTTTTTAATTATTTTTAGATTCTTTTTAAAATATAAAGAAAATTCAGTAGCTAAATTTGCTTCAACTTGTAGCTCTTCATCATCTTAAATAAAATTAATCAAATTATTATCAATTGCTTAAATCTTATTATATTATTCAATTGAAACTTCTTTAAAACTAGATAGTCCTTCGAATGAGTAACTATCTTAGCTCAAATTAGCTATACAATCATTGGCTCTTTCAAATATGTTTTTAATAGCAGTGACCGTAATGGTGCGAATACGTCGTTTCTCAGCAACACTTGACATTATATGAAAATCCTAGGAATGTCAACAACAAATAATTTTCACTTAAAAAAACTATTGTTATTCTTACACAAACACAAATTAACCACATTTATATAACTTTTTTTAATGCTAATAAAAATATGTGCATTAAACAACCCTAAAATATGGATTAGCCACAAAAAATAAGTACAATGTCAATAAGTACTTAACTTCAACTTTGTCTTCTTACTAGTTCTTGAAATTTCTTTAAAATGAACCAACAGCAAACTTTAACAACAGCTGATGAAGCGAAAGAGTTAAGTATAATAATTTAACTAGAGTAATCGTAAGTGGAGGCCCGCCTGAGGCTTTAGCAAATCGGACAGTTTCTTTAGCAAATCGGACAGTTTCCTGTCCGATTTGCTAAAGTGGAGGCCCGCCTGAGGCTTTAGCAAATCGGACAGTTTCTTTAGCAAATCGGACAGTTTCCTTTAAATTCTTTTTTTTAATTGCGTTCAATTGCAAATCACCTTTGCTTTCCGAAGTTGACAAACTTATATAATTTATAGCCATTATAAATTAGTATAACTTAATCTGTATGCGCTTATATATATATATATATATATATATATATATATATATATATATATATATATATATATATATATATATATATATATATATATATATATATATATATATATATATATATATATATACATATATATATATATATATATATATATATATATATATATATATATATATATATATATATATATATATAATATATATATATATATATATATATATATATAACTATATATATATAAATATATATATATATATATATATATATATATATATATATTATATATATATATATGTATATATATATATATATATATATATATATATATATATATATATATATGTATATATATATAAACTATATATATATAAATATATATATATATATATATATATATATATATATATATATATAATATATATATATATATATTTATATATATATAGTTATATATATATATATATATATATATATATATATATATATATATATATATATATATATATATATATATATAACTATATATATATAAATATATATATATATATATATATATATATATATATATATATATATATATATATATACTATATATATATATATATATAAATATATATATATATATATATATATATATATATATATATATATATATATA